GGTAATGAGTGGAGAACAGGAGGGCTTCTTAAAGAAGAACTAACATGTCAGTGAGGGTTGATAGATGATCAAATACTTATTTCACACAATAAAATGGAAATTAATTATTTAAAAATCATACATTGTATTTTTCTGGATTTTTGTTTTAGATTCCATCACTCACAGTTGAAGAGTACCTATGATAAAAAATCACAGTCTTCTACAAGCTTTGCAAGTGGGAAAACAGTGTATCAAATACTTGTTCTCACCACTGTATGTCCAGTTTTTTAATCTCTGCTGTCTATGAGCCCCAACTAGGTGTGCTACTTCTACAGACAAATTTGCTCGACTTGAACAAAAAGCCGTGGTTATACTGGCAAAAGCAACATGGGAAAAAAATTCGCAGTCGCTCCGTTCGGTTCGATATTCTCCCTCRCTTCTGACGTTCGTCATGGTGCCTCCACGTGATTAGGTGACTAGTCGCAAAGGGTCGTAAATAATAATAAGAAGAAGAATAAAGAAAATAACTAACTTGTCATATACACTGTAAGGGTTTTGTCAATCTGAGATTGTCCCAATAAACAATGGCTACAACTGCAAGGTCTCTGAATAACTCATTAGCATAGGATTCTTAAAAAGGTTTTTTTTTTCAAAATCACAACCTGACAGCTAAATTGCTCTGAAGATGCCTACTGTAGGAAGGATGCCAAAGTGAGAAAAACTTGTCACTAGATTACAAGATTGATTGATTGATTGATTGATTGATTGATTGATTGATTGATTGATTATGCCTTTATTGTCATTGTACGGAGCAAAATGAAAATGTCAGATCAGTGTGTATGCTTAATAGAATGATAAAAGTTGGTCTGTTGAGGAAATATGATATAGTTTAATGTGGATCTGTACGAATTGTTGCTCGAGAAGGAGTTAATGTTTTTCTTTTATGTTTTGTTTTGGTTATTTGTAGATTAATATTGTTTACATTTATTTTTTGGAAAAAAGGGACAGATATAAGACTTTTTTTTCTTCTTTCTGCTGCCTTTCATTTTATTTGTGATTTGTAGTTTTTTTATTGTATATAGAATTTATTTATTTGTTTATTAAAAAATAAATTAATAAACTTTATAAAATAGCAATTTAGAAGCTTCAAAAACATGTAAAAACAGGGCATTAACAGAAACTACTTGTAATTTGACAATATAGCTTTTGATTCTAAAACTATTTAGGTAAAATCTCACTGGGCTGAGACCTTTGGCTACTTGTATATAAACCATATTCATCATGAGGGAGTGTCAAAGTGTTTGTGGGGTTCTCACTTTTTTTCACATGGGTCACAAAGCTTCTCTTCCTTGTCACTTTAGTTCTGAATACGATTTTACAAGCTGTAAACAACAATAAAATTACAAGCTGTGATTTTCAACACCTGGTCACTCAAACACAGCTGCACAGCTTGGTAACAAACGCTCAAAACTGAATGACACTGCAACTGAAAATTAGCATTTTTCTTCTTGCAATTTTGAGTCTTGAACAGTTGCAGCCCTATGAGATACAAACTTTAGGAAATCTGGTAATTTCTCTTATTTGTTTTCAGAGACTTCCACGCTTTCAGCTGAGCATCCACTAGGGTTGGGCAATATTGGCAAAAAAAATCATTCACGTTTAATTGTGGTATTTAGCCGATAACGATTATTTTGACAATTAATCCCCTGGAGTCCCTGGACATCCTTATGTCCTAGTCACATGACCAGTTTAGTGGAAAAGATTTGCTCTTTGTAAAAATCTGTTCCAAATTGTGTCAAAATTACAGACTTCAGGATATACATCAAATTCTAAATTGTGTTGATAGATAAAGACATTACAGAAATTTTTTTTTATGTTTGTCGTATTTGAAGTGGAGAGGAACACCGAACGGACTGACTGGAAATCTCCAGTCAGTCTGCCTGGTGGCTTTAATCGTGAAGTGCCAAAAAATAATCGATGAATGTTTTTCTGGTGATTAATTGCACACGATACGATTATGCCCAACCCTACAATTAAATATGTTCAACAGTTAATACATGCTTGTTTTTTGTCTTTTTGTTTTGTTCCTCAGCAATTTTTAATGAGCAACAAGCTGGAAACGGCAATGTGGCTATCACGTCTTTTCACTGTCTACTGCTCTGTCATGTTTATTCTACCAATCTTGGGGTGAGTTTATACAGATTGTAAACTTGTCATTAGTCTTATTTATCCCTCATAATCAGTAGTTAAAACATGTTTTTTTTTTCTGTATTTCAGACCACATGCAGCAGCTAACTTCTATCAGAGAGCCTTGTTAGCCAATGCACTGACCAGTGCACTTCGCCTGCATCAGAGGCTTCCACGCTTTCAGCTGAGCAGAGCTTTCTTGGCCCAGGCTCTGCAAGAAGACAGCTGTCACTACCTGCTCTACTCTCTGATCCTGGTCAACTCCTACCCCATCACAAGTATCCTTTTACCCTGAACCGGTTTTATACCTTTTTAAATGCTGAGCATTGTTTATTATAGTGTACGTGCACACTTCTTTAGCTCCAGCATTCATGTATAAGGACTATTCTTTGCTTTAAATAGTGTAGTTGTTTTTGTTTGAAATTAAGCTGTTCAGCAACATTAACAATTTCCCCTAATTTATTTGCTCTTTTCTTATAATTATCTGAGTATTTCTCAGCTAACTCCATAATATTAGCACATTACGAAGGTTTTACATGTATCGTTTTGATGCTTAACTCTCAGCTTGGTTCCTTCTAGTTTATTGCACAAATTAGCATTGTAGAGTTACGCACTTTGAGTCGTTCCTTAACATTTGTGTTCAGTGAGCATCTTCCCAGTTTTCCTGTTCTCCTTGCTTCACGCGACTACGTACACAAAGAAAGTTCTTGACGTGAGTGAGAATCATTAAATATCTGCTGCTATTATTGGGGGCAGTTCCTCTGGATTGGCAGACCGGGGTGGTGGTCCCCCTATTTAAAAAGGGGGACCGCAGAGTGTGTTCCAACTATAGGGGGATCACACTTCTGAGCCTCCCTGGTAAGGTCTATTCAGGGGTCCTGGAGAGGAGGGTCTGTCAGATAGTCGAACCTCGGATTCAGGAAGAGCAGTGTGGTTTTCGTCCTGGTCATGGAACAGTGGACCAGCTCTACACCCTCAGCAGGGTCCTGGAGGGTTCATGGGAGTTCAACCAGCCTAGATGTGTTTTGTGGACTTGGAGAAGGCGTTCGACCGTGTCCCTCGGGGACTCCTGTGGGGGGGTCTCAGGGAGTATGGGGTACCAGGCCCATTGATACGGGCTGTTAGCTCCCTGTATGACCGGTGCCAGAGCTTGGTCCACATCGCCGGTGTGTCGGACTCATTTCCGGTGAGAGTTGGACTCCACCAAGGTTGCCCTTTGTCACAGATTCTGTTCATAACTTTTATGGACAGAATTTCTAGGAGCAGCCAAGGTGTTGAGGGGATCCTTTTTGTTGACCTTAGGATCACGTCTCTGCTTTTTGTGGATGATGTGGTCCTATTGGCCTTATCAGATCCTGATCTCCAGCTCTCACTGAAGCAGTTCACAGCTGAGAGTGAAGCAGCCGGGATGAGGATCAGTGCCTCCAAATCTGAGACCATGATCTTGAGCCAGAAAAGGGTAGGGTGCCTTCTCCGGGTCGGGGAGGAGGTYCTGCCCCAAGTGGAGGAGTTTAAGTATCTCGGGGTCTTGTTCACGAATGAGGGAAGAATGGAGCGGGAGATCGACAGGCGGATTGGTGCTACATCTGCAGTGATGTGGGCGCTGTACCGGTCTGTTGTGGTGAAGAGAGAGCTGAGTCAGAAGGCGAAGCTCTCGATTTATCGGTCGGTCTACGTTCCTACCCTCRTCTATGGTCACRAGCTTTGGGTAGTGACAGAAAGAACGAGATCACGGATACAAGCGGTTGAAATTAGTTTCCTTCGCAAGGTGTCTGTGCTCTCCCTTAGAGATAGAGTGAGAAGCTCAGTCATCCAGGAGGGACTCAGAGTAGAGCCGCTGCTCCTCCACGTTGAGAGGAGCCAGTTGATGTGGCTCATCTGGTTAGGACGCCTCCCTGGTGAAGTGTTCCAGGCACGTCCCACTGGGAGGAGACCGAGAGGAAGACCCAGGACACACTGGAGGGACTATGTTTCTCAGCTGGCCTGGGTACGCCTTGGGATTCCCCCAGAGGAGCTGGTCCAAGTGGCTGGAGAGAGGGAAGTCTGGGTCTCTCTGCTTAGGCTGCTGCCCCCAAGACCCGACCCCGGATAAGCGGCATAAAACAGACGAACGGAATTATCTGCTGTGGCTTTAAATGCTTGTATTTTATTTTATTTATTTTTTTGTTTTTGTTTTTGTTTCAGTCTGTGGGCCCCAACAGCTTGATGTTTGTGAGGAACCTCCTGGACCGGATAACAACCAATCAGCAGAACATCCTAAAGTTTATCGCTTGTAATGAGATCTTCTTAATGCCCGCYACTGTTTTCATGCTCTTCAGGTACGTCGACTGTTGAAGGCGTGTGTTGTTGTCGGCAGGAGGTATTACTGGATTATGTTGCAGATGCTTTATATTCCTTTTTATTTAAATGTAGAAAAACGTGCAGCTCAACAAATGTTTCTGTCCAACCAACAGTGGCCAGGGAAGCTTGTTGCTGCCTTTTATTTACTACAGATTCCTTACTCTCCGTTACACATCCAGGAGAAACCCATACTGCCGGTAAGTTGTTGGATAAAATGATACACACATTGTAACAGATCTGACTGAAGTAATGTACTTACTTAAGGACTTGGTGCAGAAGAGCACTAGTTTAAAACCACTATTGGGTTTTATCATTCATGTTCTCTGTGAACAGTGGCTGACTACTCAGCATCATAAATATGTGACCTGTGCTGGCAAAATGTCATTTTTTCAATACTGAGTTTTGTTATGTTCAACTTCTCCATTTCAAGATTTTCTAAAAGATAAGTAGTTTGATGAAAATTGGTCATTTATCATTTGACAAGTTAGTATATATATGTATTTTTTTTAATTCTGTGCTGGTTCAAAATCCCACTTTTGTCTAAAGTAATAGCAAAGACTAATAACACAACCTGCTAGTGTTCTTTTTATTATGTTCGAGCAGCAATAACCAAGTGCTGGGCCATATAAACCAAATTTTATATCACAGTATTTTCAACAATTATACTTGTATTACGGTATTTGATGTTATTTTTCTTATCATCACAGCTCAGATGATGATAATTCTTTGCCTGGATGTGCACAGTAGTCACATTTTGTCACACTGTGAAGGAGGTTTGAGCAAAGATCATTATCGGGTCAACTAAACCCCAGTACAGAACCACTTCCCTCCCAGGCTTTTCACAATAGAAGCACATAAACGTCTCCATACATTTACATCACGCATTAAATCTATCCGTGCACGTCACTGAAGAGATGGCAAAAATGGAAGAGTTAATTTTTAGCGCCAGTCAATTATGCAGCGAAATCGCCACCAGTTATGGAGAAGCTGCTTCAACATTAACATTAGCTTGCTAATGCGCTTAGCGGAGCTGCGAGGAAAAGTGTCCCCCATGAGTGACGCAACGTTCCGAACGTGTTCAGGCTGTTTAAACTGCTGAGTCTGTATTCAGAAAATTCATATCATAACATTAAAAAAAAGTTTTTTGGAATGAACCAGTATACTGCCCAGCACTACAATAACCACATGCTAATCAGTTGAACTAGTTTTTTATTGTGACTATTTGTTGATATAAAATGACAAATCTAATGTTTGTTTTTGGCCATTCAGAGTTCTAACTTCACCATGTTTGTGTTTTTTTTTTTTGAACCACCTTAGCACCTTGTTCTATGAATTAAGAATTCTTCTGGAGCACTTCATCATGAAGCCTGCCTGTCCTGTGTTTTTGAGGAGGATGTGCCTCAGCAGTATCGCCTTCATCAGCCGCCTCGCCCCCACAGGGGTCTGATTACTCTAAGAATTTATTTTCTTTTGTTTCCTTTTTTTACTTTTTAAGCCAATTATGATGTGACTTAAGACTATGAAGAGGACAGATATTGCCATGGATTGAAGAAACCTTCTTTTGAATGTCAACTTTACAGTCTGAGCTTCATTTTTGTTCCTGTATATTTTGAAGACAAACTGGTAAAGCGCTGAAGTCTCGTAGTGATATTTTTTGTTTTTACTGTGACCCACTTGGAACAGTGGGCATCCTTTCACATCATGTTCACTGAATGGAGCACTGCAGATATAAGCTGCTCTGTAACGACAGTTTTTATTTCTTTTATGTCAATATTTATTAATGAAAATGTTTATTCTATAATAAATCCACAACATTTTGAGATTATTAATTTAATAAAAATGTGCTAATACATGAATATGCTTATTTTTAAATGCGTAGTTTTGTTTGCAGCGTCTTCTTATTTGTATGAATGCCTAACTTTCAGTGTTTTATATCTATGCCACCTCTAGCTCTTTAAACATCATACCTAATATGTAGCTATGTTTTCAAATGGATGTTAAACTGAAAAATAACTGCTGTATGTAAAGGTACCAGACATTTTGTTGTAGAATTCACATTTGAAATTAGTATTTTAAAGCATGTCATGTCATCCCTTTGAATACTTCATGGCGTTGTTTAAGGCAGCTTTGATTGTTTTCCAATCATCTTGTGATGCCTGTTTTGATTTTGTCTCCACCACGTCTAAAATGCTTGTTTGCCTATAGAAACGCCATGTTTTTATGAGGAAAATAAAGTTCTCTTTAAAAAAAAAAGTAAAATGATTCATATGTTATTGAYAAAATGCGCTTATAATAATTGTTATAGGTTGTATCCTGTTGCAGGGGCGGTTCTAGGGGCGGGGCCACAAGGGCATTGGCCCCAGCTGAAATCTGATTGGCCCCTGTCCTGTCACTCATCTGTTCTTTACCTGGGAGTGATGATGGTGGATGCGGTTCCATGTTCAAACACTAGTGGCGCTAATGAGTCAAATATTAAAGTCCAGAATGAATCAAGCTTACAGAATTCTACTTCTCAAGAAAATTTGAATAATCCTGCAAAAAAAATACCTAACCTAACTGTCAACAACGATGTGTATCAAATAAAATAAAATAACTCATGTTAACATACCAAATAATCCCACCCCATCCAAAATAGTGTACAGTTTTACACTTTATAAAAAAGATCTCTTTAATATTTGTGGATATTTATAATGCAGTACAATATTATATGTTAAAATATGTGTTTCTTAATCACTACTGTGCTTACAAGGTAGCAAACTAGTCTGAAATGTTTAATGCCCAAACAGATTTGGCTCAGTATTAGGAAAGAAATTGGAGAATTTAGTCTCTTTTTTGTCCTTAATTAATGCATAATAAACACTTATTTATAAAGTGTTTACAGATTAATTAATAATATAAACTCTATAAGGGGAGCCTTATTGTAAAGTGGTACCCTTTAAAAAATACATTACAAGTGTTGGGACATTTATGACAACCAGTATAATCAACCAGTTGATATAAACAACCAGTTTATATCCTGTAACTTATTTTTATTTTGACAGTATACTTGTAGGTTATAATATTTAAACAATGTATATTTAAACAGTGTATTATGTTATAAACGTCTCAGATTAAGCCTTAAATTCACATTTAATCCACAGTGAAAGACAGCGAATCAGCTTGCGGCTTCAAAACTCACGCTCGGCCAATAGAATCGCAGCTTGCAACAGGATGTAATGTTGCCGTAGCAACATGAACTCGTTCCGTGGAACGGGAGCGTGTGGATCGTCCGTTAAACACGATTTCGTGGCGTTTTCACGCACCCAGAACTTGTTTCGGATGGAGCTCAGTGGACTCTTCTGTTTAAAATGACTTCCGCTCGTCGACGAAGACAGCTGGCTGGTGGTTTAATCGTGTTAGCTTACGTCGTTAGCACGTCGTGCTAATCTTCTTTCTGACAATAATCCCAGTCGTAAATGGCATCGCTGCCCTTTGCCTGCTGTATACGTACATTTTTTTAATTGACTTTAAAGGGCAGTAGATATTCTCGCGATTGTGCAACTAGAAAACCTACCAGAAAGATTTATTTTTTTCTTTAAAAAAGGCACAAAGAAAGAAGATGGAGATCCACCTGAATAGGGTTGACTACACGCAGGTAACCCCGCACCGAAGCTGCTGTTTTAAAAGCAATTTTTGAAGTTAGAATAACTTAGAACTTTGTGTTTTCTGTTACACCGAGTTTTATTTATTTATTGTTTGTTTGTTTGTTTGTTTGTTTGAGTTAGATTGTAGATCTATGGAAGCCCATTTCCGCCACCCTGATAAAAATAAAACTTGTTTCTCATAAATATGACTTAGCTATCTCATTATTATGAGATACTATCTCATAATTATGAGATGCTATCTCATAATTATGAGATAGTATCTCATAATA